ACATAATTAGATGGCTTTAATGAAATGTAAAATGTATATACATGAATTGGTACCTAATGATCTTAATTATGGAAGAATTCAATTTAAATACACCAATGGCGAAAATAGTCTTTGAGCTATCAGGTTATAAAAGCCAAGTAGGAGTTGTCTAAGGTGCTTTGAGTTTTCTACCTGAAAAATAAGGCTATTGGCATGCTAAAATAGGTTAAACTATTAGGTTCTATTGATAGGGTAATTGTTATTTTTACAATGTAAGTTTGTATAATTTCAATCTATTATCGAATAGATAAATTTGTAAGCAGCTGTGCTGGATTGAGATGTGTCTCATTTGTTGAGAGAGTCATTGTTCTCACTTCTCAAGAAAGAGTTTTGCTAACCATGAGGAAATTTGCAATTACTGATTCTAAGATAGCTGTGAGTTTATGTTTGAGTGATCTTTGCCTGAAGACTTTGGTATTTATCTTGAATTTGCAACTGAAGACATTATGCATTTGATTATTAAGTATTACTTTATTTTCTTGTTGTGCATCTGTCTCTTTCAAGAACACATTGCATATATGGGGTTAGTATTGCATATAAGGTCCAGTCCTGCTAGTTTAGATGAGCAGTTTCCTTCTGTTGAATAAGCATATATTGTTATGAAATTGTTCATTTTATAACTTATAAGTCTAATAAAGTAGTTATGTGCTTAGCACCCAAGGGTATGACCTAGTGGCAATGAAGTGGAGAAGAACCGTGAGGTCTCAGGTTCAAACCCTCATAGAGACAAAAACACTATGAACTCTTCTCATATGCCTAAGCATTAGTGCGCAAAGTTATCAGTACTTGTGATGGTGGGAGGTAGTAGGTACCCGATCTAATAGTTGAGCATAAGTCTGACCGAGACATTTCATGTACTGTGCCAATCTCATTTAGCAATCGGATGTTAAAGTGCTTCATCAAAATCACATGCGTCAATGCTTTAGTGTCTGCACTCCATGTTTCTTTAAGATTTTTATTTTATTTTATATTCAGTGAAATTTGTACAGTACAGATCTTTGTGTACAGTACAGATCTTTTTCTCCAAGCATCTCATTTTTAGCAGAAGAATATAATCAGTTATGCCCTCCTCCCTCCTTCTGTTGTTTGGTTGTTTTAGCAACCTAGTTAAATATTTTGGTCTGGTACATGTGAATGCTATATTAATGCAACGATAAAGTTTCTCGAAGATGTAGTAGTTTGCGTTATTGTGACATCTCTTTAGATGTCCATCCACTCACAGATCGCTTTTTCATGGTGCATGACAGTGTGCAGGTAATTCTAGTGCTCTTTTCCTAACGGCTGCAGCTCAAAATCTACTCTGCCTCAAACTAGCTGAGGAACTTGGGGTAGTAATTGCAAACCCATGGGTGTCTTGGTTCAAGGCTGCTAGTTTGCCTGCATTTATTTCTCTTTTGGCTACTCCTTTCATCTTGTACAAGCTTTATCCTCCTGAAACCAAAGATACACCAGAAGCCCCCGCTATGGCAGCTAAAAAACTGCAACTTATGGGTCCTGTTACAAAAAATGAATGGGTGATGATTGGCACAATGCTTCTTGCAGTGTCTCTGTGGGTTTTCGGGTAGGTATCGTTTCACAACTGATGTTGATACCTATAATTTCTATTTAGAACTTTTAAATGTTGTGCATTGCCTCTCTATGATGTTAATTTCGGGCAATAGCAAATTATTACAGGGTATAAAGTAATGCATTTCTAGACAAAAAGAGTGAGGCCGCAGAGAGGCAGTTGAGAGTCCTAATGTGTTTAATTTCTGAAACTTCTATGTTGTTCTCAGTGATGCTCTTGGTATTGCGAGTGTTGTTGCTGCAATGCTCGGCTTATCAATCCTCTTGCTGTTGGGAGTGCTTGACTGGGATGACTGTTTAAGTGAAAAATCAGCATGGGATACTTTGGCTTGGTTTGCAGTCCTAGTTGGCATGGCTAGCCAGTTGACAAACCTTGGCATTGTTGGTTGGATGTCTAGTTGTGTAGCAAAATCCCTACAGGCTTTATCGTTGAGCTGGCCAGCTGCATTTGGTGTTCTTCAAGCATCATACTTCTGTATCCACTACTTATTTGCAAGTCAAACAGGCCATGTGGGAGCGTTATACTCTGCATTCCTTGCTATGCATTTGGCATCTGGAGTGCCTGGTGTATTGGCAGCCCTGGCTTTAGCTTACAACACTAATCTATTTGGTGCTTTGACACATTATAGCAGTGGTCAAGCTGCTGTCTATTTTGGAGGTATGTAGCTCTCTTTAACTAATTCTGCTTGACCACAGATGAAAGTTTTTTATTCTTCATTTTCTGTTTGCTGATAAAAGTAAATATTGGAATTAATTGGTAGATATATGATTATTGTTTTGTTTCTTGTGATGGCAGCTGGTTATGTAGATCTCCCGGATGTCTTCAAAATGGGATTTGTAATGGCAATCGTCAATGCTATTATATGGGGAGTCGTTGGAACATTTTGGTGGAAATTCTTGGGTCTATACTGATTCTGCAAGTACATTTTTCCCCATTTATACGTGTTGTGGCATTTTAGCAACGACCTCGATGTTATTGAAGTACAATCTCTATATTAGTGTCAGCATTTCCCCATTGTAATATTCTTTAAAACACGCGGATGAAAAAAAGAATGTATTTTTTTTTTTGCTGTCTGCTACATTTTGGACTATTTCACCTTTGCAGTTTTGAGTTTAAAGCTTAGATGGCTTCTGCAGTTAATCTTTCTTTCTTCAACACTTTCACTATGGAAGACGTTGAGGATGACAGAGGAAAGTGAAGTACAAAATTATCACACCGAAATTTGTTACTCCAATGATCTTGAGGACAGAAAAATGTCGTTTATACAAGAATAGCTAATCACATGAACATTAACAAGCAGAGCCCGTCTAGCTGAGGATATATATGCAACGCACTACCATATGTAGCAGATAGATGGCCTGAGGAAGGATATTTTGAAAAAATAGGAAGAGTTTACTTCTTTCAAGGCAAGTTTTTTGGGGCTTAGGTAGTGTGGGGTAATGCATTGAGACTCACATCTATTAACATTAAAACATTGCTACAAGCAGATGACGATCCCATTAGGTTTGGTGCAAGCAGAAATTCCTAGTGGAATCTGACATTTTTTTAAACGAAATGGACTTGTCATACATTACAATCTTATAGAAGCTACAAAGTCTTATCAAATCAGCAGAGTGTACCTTTTTTCCAATAGTACAAGTTCTGGACGCATCTATACTAACCATGAAGATAAGCTCCTTTCATCTACAAAACACCTCCCATTTCTTCCTTACCAAACTGTCCACAATCCAATCAATACATAAAGGAATAGATACCCAAATCTTCGTCTCTTGCCAGCAATCAAAGATCCCTGGTAGCACAATAATCTCCTGAAACTAAGGCACCTCACCATACTCAAACATGGAAAAAATCACCTAGTAAAATTGCAATGAATTGAATCTGACGAGTCCTCACACAAAACATCTACTATTCAATATTTACCAAACTGAATTCCCAGAGAAGTGTTTTTTTCTGTGATGGTGCCTGAGCCAGCTTGTGCGTGCCTTGGCTATTTCACCAGACACATGCAACCTCTCACCATCGCAAGTATTGGGTAACTCTCTCACCAAGGCTTAAGCAGATAGGAAGAAAAGTGAGTTTCTCAACTTGATTGGCAGCCATGAGAAGCAATTGACAACTGAAATCTCGTGGAAAAGGATGACTACATATGTCGGTAAGTGTTTTATGTACAAGAGTTCGGCAAAACGTGGATGGAAAATCTTTTGATCGTTTGGCTACAAAGAGTGATGCCACACAACGTGAAGAAGAACTGTCCACCTTTAGCAAACGAAGACAAGACAAAGGTCATTAGGGATTATTCAATTAGCACTCACGTGGGTAGTGTGGAAGACACAGAAATAGGAGAGAAGGTATAGAAAATGATTTTGTATATTTCGTTAAATAGCCTCTTAGTCCTTGTTTCTATTTTTTCTTCTGCATCATGAGAGAGAGAGAGAGATTTAGCAGTCATTCTATTTACCTGTTATTAGAATAAAGATTGAACTTCATCAGCATATTGATCCTCCAGTACCGATTACTTGAGCGAATTCGTCTAGGAGATGCAGCCTCTCAAGGATCAGTCTTTCTTGTTTGGCATCTATGCTTGTCAAGAATAACACATGATATGCAAAATAGACATGACTAAACAAGTAGCTTAGAAATAGATTAACTGAAATACCATCAGGCAGATTATGGAACAAGGGTAACTTAATACACAAATTAACAACAAGAAAACAAGTTTACATATGTTCTGTGTAGCTTGGATGTTGTGACATAGTTCAGAGGCACTAAATTTACTAGATTCTGAACATAAAAATATATTTCAGCTACTTTTCTATTAGCAACTGAATAAACTCACATAGCAATAAATACAATTTTGTTAGACGAACTCAATTTCATAGGTTTCTGCATCACAATTCATATGCATGCAAATAAATAAGATGCCATTAGGATACATTCTTGGTCAGGATTTTCTGCAAAATTGGAGTGCAATGCGTTCCCCATGCTATCCACTATAGCCGAGGTAGTCATGGATGACTCAATGCATAAGATGGCAGTGATGGCATCCAATCTCGTGACCTCATTTCTAAACATCAATCTTGCATGTGCTGTAATATTGCCATATTGGTTTCTTTAGAATCAGTGACTAATAGAGCTAGGGCCAAGCCAGGAAAAAGCTAGAGACAATAATTCACCCTGGGCAAGTCTTATCAGACTCTCCAGCATGCGCACAGTTGTTCTTGCTGTAGATATTCACAGTTGTTAAGTGCATAGCCATGGAACAATTAGAACATTTAGTAACAATGATGATGTTTAATGGACCTGCATTTTGAGTCGCAGATCTTCTTTGCAGTTGGTAATAGCTTGAGATAACCTTTTCTGCCTCCTTTGTGAGGACTGGTCTAAAGCATCTCTTCACAAATTGGATGTACCTACAAGATGTGATCAGAAGACATCACACTGCCATCCCCTCAACAGAATGTTATGAAGTAATTGCTGCTGAAGATTTTCTTGTGTTGGAGTTAACACGGTAACAAAATGGTATGACACAAATGGAACTAGAATTAGATCTTTTTCCTAGTGTCATGTGGACTTCCTTTACAAGTTGAGCTCACCATCCAGCTTTTCCGCAACTTACAGGATACAGCTGTTCAGGAGCCCAAGGAAGTATTATGATTGAACTGATTATCTAACTTGCAACCAAAGCCCACTGTCTAATCACTCTCACATAACATGAAAGTCTTTTTGAAAATTCAGATACTCAAAACATCAGTGCTAATAGAAAGGCTAAGAATATGAATTCGAACTTTCTATTTTGGCTCCAAAATTACTTTTTTGTTTACTCATACATGCATATCAATTGGAGACCTATTTATAAGTGCTTTTATGAAAATTCATAAAAAAGGTCATTTCCTAAACCACCTATCTCCCAAGCTTGTAAATAAAAATTATCAAACTAGAGTACACTGCCAGATTTTTGGCCATGTTTATAAATGAAAATATGTTACTCGATCAACAACAAAAAGAGTTATCAAGCTAAAAAAAAGCTTTGCGGAATTAAGAAGCGTAAAAAGAGAGAAAGTTCTTTGCATGTTGCTTTTTGAAACTAAAGTCTTGCATACCAGCTTCTAGTCTTCTACAAATGGAAAAGATTAACCATAGATTAGCGAATCATCCAAATTGGAAAAGGAGGGGGACTAAACTAATACTACTGGTTTAAAAGGTATCAATGTCGATAATCATATTTAAGGACTTATCCCATCTTGTTCAGTTTCACCGTTATTAATGTGCAAATGCACGTGTAATCCCTTACTGTTCATGAACAATGCCAATATTCATATTTAGGAATTTATCTTATCGAGTATTTATATATAGAAGCAGTTAGCAGTTTAGCCGAAGTGGCGTTCTCTATCTGTGGAGTAGTAGATACGTATACAATTATTTGCAGATGAGTACATATCATGTATATCAGAATCCAGATGGTTGTCAGGAAGTACTTTACCTTCTGAGCATTGAAATTGGCCAGATAGTCCCTAGATTCTCTTCATAATTGTGGTTCTTGGTTTCTGCCTGTCAATCACATGTAAGAATTTTCATCCAGCTAATTTAACCTTGATGGAAAAATGGTAATGTATTCACATTATTTTAGATTCATCACCTCAGCAAGAATGTGTGAAGAAACAACAGCATCCCAGTCTGGGTTTTTGGTGTCTAAGAGAACTAGGACTATGTCAAATCTGCTCAGCAGCGGGCCAGAGAGTGTCGTATTAACAGATAAAGCTAGTTTGAGTTAAGAAAATTGCGATGCGCAGCAAAGCATTTAAGATGCCTGATGGAGATTCTAGCTTGCAAGAAGATGAAAGGCAAAAGAATAAAAGAAATAGGACATCAAAAGCAAAGATACGCTGCTCAGGATCATAATGCCCCTTGGGGTTAGTTGCTCCAAAAACAATTGTCCTTGTACTGAGAGTTGTCACAAGACCAGCCTACAGATTAGCCATGTCATCAAGGATCACAAAGGATTTATTTAATTAAGAACAGAAGGTATTGCGGGGAAAAGAATATGGCAGGAAAAGAATTTTGAAAACATCAAGAAATCAAGACCTTGCCAATCATGCATGTATTGACTTTACCAAAAAAAAGCTAAGATTTTTCAAAGAAGGCATAATACATAAATGTGCCATTTAACTTTGCTTCATTTCACATTTATGTCCTCCAACTTTTAGATGTGCACAAATACACTTACACTTGTATAAAACTGAACAACTTGACACATGAGTCCTATGTGGCATAATACATGTAGGAAACCACGTAGGATACAAATTGCCATGTAGGATGTCACCTGGTACGTGTATGTATATTTGTTCAATTTTATACAAGTTTAAGTGTATTTGTGCACTTCCAAAGTTGGAGGGCATAAATGTGAAATGAATTCAAGTTAAAGGGCATCTTGATGTATTATGTCTTCAAAGAATGATATACCTTTGCAACACTTATAGTCTGCTGCTCCATTGCCTCATGGATGGTTGCTCTGTCGTGCCCTCTCATGCTGCCAAACAAACCTTGACGAGTCATCAAATGAATGTCTATGATAACATTATTGGCTATTTTGCCACCGAAAATAATTGTTAATCATTTGAATCAACAACCTCATATAACCCTAACTTAGGTGCAGACTGTACTTTACACCGCACCAGTTTTATCAAAACAAGGAGAAACTGAACAAATCAACATAATACTTCAATGATGCAGCTATACCTGTCAAACTCATCAATGCAACAGAGACCACCATCTGCTAATACAAGGGCACCAGCTTCTAACATCCACTCTCCTGAAAATATAGCTTGTCTTTACAAATGATGATCAAAAAACTTTACATTTAGGCCAAAAGAGTATCAAGAACATGATTGGGAGGCACTCAGATAAATTGTCCCCTCATATTGTTTCTGTATGTAAGAGGTACAACAGTATTGAGTATCCCACGCCTCCTTCATTTAAACATATTATTTAAATAATGTTAGTAGGGCACTAGTACTAATCTCAGAAGCAGGGTCACATCAGCAAGACTATTATACATTTTAAATCATTTGAGATTTGAACCTAAGCCTTCATGAAACCAACCCACTTCATTGACCACTGTTCCAAACCCTTGGGAGCCTACTTGCAGTGTTAGAATTTCAGTTCTAATAAAAGCAAGATTCGTAACACTTGTGTTTATTTCTTGCACGTCTCAAGAAAATTCTATAGGAAGGAGGAACGAACTTTCACCCTCCTTTTCCATGTGAAAAACAAACAAGTTTAAAGAACTCAACCACATTATTGTGGAAGCTTGCACAGGTCTGTGTGTGAGAGGGCCCTTAACTCTGCCTCTGTGTGAGTTGTTGCGACAGAAACACAGACAGTTCCCCACATAAATATGACCAAAGCAAATAGATAGGGACAGCTTCAAACTTCAACACTACAGATATTAGCAAGTAACAAAAAAGGGAACAATCTACCTCCATCTTTTACTGCGGTAACAGTCAATCCAGCACTAGTGCTTCCCAACCCAGTCGTAATGACAGATCTATTGCTCAATTTAGCAGCAAACTTCAGAAATTGTGACTTTCCAGTGCCTGACAGGATAAGCAAGAAACCATATTTCTCACTTGTTCACAACTTCCCAACATTCAAATGGATATAACACACCATAAAATTGACACAGCCGTGCAAGAAGGTGAAATCAAGTATACCAGCTGTTATGCAGCACATTAGCGCTAAACGCAATTAAATAAGAGCTGCAAGTACAGAAAAATCTCTAAAGAAAACCATTTGCCTATAAAGAAGATATTCTAATCTTGATTCAAAGCATTTTAATATTACAATTAATTACCAGGATCACCAACGAGAAGCAAATGAGACTCTCCTCTAACTTTTGTTCCAGAAGCATCAACATGTTGGACACCTCCAATAAGCGTCAATGCCACTACATTGAATTCAAAGTTGGTCATTGGCCAATGGTAAAGAAATAATCCATACTGTTTGGACACATAGAACTCAAAGGGGTTACTTTTCACGGTACACAGTTGCTGACAGAAAACGAAAAAGTAACACAAACTCTTTATAATACAACTAACATTTAGATATGTGACATCAACTGAAAAGAAGACACTGGCAGGGGAAAATACCTGCAAGCTTAACAGTGAAAAGCCCAAAGACCTGTGGGCAAATACCTTGTAGAATCGCATTCCTACCTGTGTCAAGGAATGAAGAGATAGAAAGAAAAGCAGGTCTGAGCCCCAAGTACTTTTAGCAAGTAATCTAAAATCAGTACCCGCTGACAGAATTTTTACCCTTTAGAGGAGTATCTTTGAATTCAGTCCAAAACTGCTTGAATTTGAGAACAGCATCATCGGGGATATCTATTTCTGACTTCAGCTCATTCATTCTCCTGAAGATACATTATAGGAACTATGAGAATAAAAAGGCAGTTAACTTTATGAGGAAGTCAGAGAAATGTATTACCTCCACCAAGCAGTAGGGAAGACAGAAGGTGGTAGATCAACAAAGCCTATCAAACCCAAAGTTTTGGAAGGTATATCTTGCTTCATGTAAGTGTTTTATGTCTGCACCTGTTACTTTTTAATAAAAACCATTTTATTTTTGTTGTATATCTCTTCTGAGTTTAAATCCTTATTTGGCAATACCTCCTTGGATATAAGATTCATTAAGTTCTACAAACATCACCATGCTATTTAAGCTTTGGAAGATGACAAATTGTATCAATGATATTGTATATTTATTCACTTATCAATCAAAAGGAAAGAAACACTACAACTAGAACCTGAAGAATGATCACTTTTCTGGTAACCAAAAAAGTGAAATATTGAAGGCAATTCTAAATACTCTGAGCCCTTCATTGGGACTCCTACATGTTATCAAACACCAAGGCCAAATACATACTCTCACTCACAGTCTTCACCCCATCAACGCCATGCTTTAGAGTATGAAATAGCTGTATCTACTGACCAGTGAGAAAATTTACATCACCGAAACAATTGTTAAATAGAGGAAACAAAAGAAACGGTGATTTGCTTCTGTTTAACCCAATTATAAACCATCCCAATTGATGAGACATCAAGCTGTATCTAACGTTTCAAGTGGCACTTTCTGCATTCATTTTCAAATTAAACGGACAAGGATTGAAGGCAAAAAGAAAAAAGAGTGACTTTGAGCTAGCCATGATTTGGCGGGTTGCTCTGATACACTAAACAAGGGACTAATACTTCAGGACGAATTAAAGATGTGTACTTCTAAACAAGAGCAAAAAATTGTATAAAATACCAATAATTCATTCATAGTTTCTGCACAAATTATTGAATCCTTGCACTGTTTGGGTTTGACTCGTGGTTGCATGAGATATATTGAATTCATTCATAAAATGAACTCAGTGAAGTACTCCTCTGTTACCTTACATGGTTGGCAATTAGTACCGGATCAAGGTCACATCGAACGTCTTTTAAATCAGTGGACCATTTGGCAGTTAAGATCCCAGTAACAATCACATCATCTGACAACATTAAACATGGCCATAACTTAAGGACAAGAAAGAAAATGTCTATCAAGCCTATCAATGAAAAGGAGAAGGAAAAGAGAGAATTGGGTCTCAATAGGCTAGATGGTGAATTTACATACTATAAAGCAGAATATGATACAAAAAAGCAGATTGACACAAGAAAACTACTTCAATTACTAAAAGTTTTACCTATTACAGTTTCAATTCAAAACAAATTTTAACTTTGACCATGATCTCAAGCAAATGTTTAGATACT